CAAGACCATATTTGTTGTTCCTCTTTGCTATATTTAGGACTACATGTCTATTGGTGCAGTGGATGTTCAGTAAACTCTTTGCATTCTTTTCTAACGAAAATTAACATTATGAATAGTGACGGGTGAATGAGTACAGTAAATACCCCCTAGAAAACAATGCGATGGTGCCATTACGCCTCGTTTAGGTTTTGTGAAACCTATGAGTGTACCGGATATGTGAGTGTTAATGATTAACCTTACTGTGGCGTCATTCCTTGCCTACCGGAAGACGAAGAATGCTGCTTCAGAAGAGATGAACCATAATTTGTAAAAAGAATTACACAATGGTTCTTTGTCCAATAATTCGTCTCAGTAGGATTACGTCCCCTTACTGGACTACCTTGTTCCCGTTCCGTACTGGCCTCAGAAATACCAAATTTTACGAAGGCATCGGAAGTGCTAACCCGGCTACTCTCATTTTTCATCGCAGATCAAGTAGCACAAAGATTTAGCATGACATTTTCTGTTTAGCTATGACGGACAGAACCATTCGAATTTGACGGGTAACTGTATTGGCCATGCACTCCCGCTACTGACTAGAAATCTTAACAGCTGAACTTACCGCGTAAGACAGTGCCCCTTGACCTGTGCGCGTTGCACAGAGGCATGAGATGTGCTCCTGAGCGTAAGCCTAACAGTTGTTGACCAAGAGGCTAAACTTGAATAACCTAGAACACTTCAAATTATTGACTAGTTGAGTCATTCATTGACAGCCCAGATGTGGCTGCAGGTTCAACGATAATGATATAAAACTTTAAGTGACCACATCACGTGTTCCTCTCCCTGAAAGATAAAAACACTTTACCAAAACTGTTCAGGGATATTGCCCAGTCAATATGGATAACTGGGAAAATGGCTACAGTATCTCAGTATCACAGGACTCCTCGGCTGTTGTTTTATGAGGGAACATAATTATAGTACATACGTCACAGACGGTTGGTTGTCCTTGTAGGTACTACTTGATTTGAGAATGTAAGATTACCGCTACTAGCCGCCGACCACATTGATGAAGAATATTCCGCAAAAGGGTGCCACTTTAACTGGGTCCCAGGGACGATACCTACCGAGAGTTGGTCGAACACAGCCAAGAAGGTAATACCGATGTCAATTGAACGCAGAGCTTTCCGTCCAGTTGCCGAACTCGACGAACGGTAGTATCCATGGCAAATGACCCCCACCGAGACAGATCAGAACTACCTGTCCCTCATGTAATGGTGGTGTTCGAATAATACAGCCTCTAAATATGTTTCCCCAGTTCATTTGTCTATCCACCTAAATACTGAACATTGTTTTTGTCAGCTGAAGGTATGACTTATAGTTGTAACCACATAATAGATATTGTGAGCCATCTGCAAAACCCTGCACCTGTTTTATAAGCTTCTATCTAGAACTTCGAGTCCCCGTCATCAAACTACCACAATACTCAAATATCTCCGGTCCAAGCGTAAAACGCGCAAAGCAATATAACATGCCGGAAAACTGTAAGGGTAAATGGAAAACTCCGATCAGTCAGTTATGTGGTCACTGTCATGGTAACAGCTATAGCCTGCGTCAAAACATTGGAAGAGTTGACGAGCCTTGATCGGTATGACTTCGGCCAGCGCCAACAAGTTAGGCCTCAGGTTTCAGTTGGCCTACGGCTCTACAGCAGCTGACGACCGTCGGTCTGAGTTCTGAAACGTCACTTGAATAATCCGATCCGCCTAACATTCAGATGCACCTCGACCTCTCCTCCCATTGAATGTGTAACGGCGGTTGATTGGAACGTATAGAAACCTGAGTTTTCTTGTTCAGCAAATCAAGGTTGCCAGCACTTTGAAAAGATTGAATGCTGTGCATTCAAACAAAAGCTATTTTCACTAGTAGAGTGAACCAATATGTGGTGATAAGAATCCCTTCATACGGTGCCAAACGGTACTCACTGAGGCCGAAGGCGTATTGATTGTTCGTAATGCACCATTCATAAGGTTGCTGAAAATCCGTCGACAGCCCACGGGGATCATCAGTCTCCGAGTTTCCGTCAACCTTATGTTCTACTTGTATCGATTGTTCTTTGTAGGGGTTCATTCTAGTTGTATTCTGCTAAACTGTGTGGGTCCATGTTTGGTTGAGCTGAATACGTTTTGTCGTATGATGCAGCTTGCAAAACCAGAATGGTGGTGTGTTGGGTTTAGTTTTGGTGGACCATAAACGCTACTCCATCAAGTTCACGGTCTCAACTAAGCCTAGTTTATTGCGATGCAATTAATTCGTTACTCAACTATGGGCGGTATGATTGAGTGCACGTGAAACTCGTTCTCTCACTTGAGCTATTAGTTAACCTGAATCGATGTCAGTAGTTAGCAGAAGTTGAACATCACCATCACAAACAGTTAGTCGCGGGGACCGCGAATGGTGCACCCGGCTGTCACTTTGACTCGTTACCGAGATTCGATTTCACAAATTCTGATTTCCGATACACAGCACATATCCATTTCAATCCAGTGTGTGAAATAGAGCAGTCTGTTGTCTTGCTTGAATCAGAGTGCGGGAATTAAGAGCGGCTGGATGAACCGGGTGTTGAGGTTTGATTAATTTTAAGATGCTCAAGGTTGTCAGAAGAGAAGATCAAATAATCCGAATTACTCTAAGTGTAGTAGCCGTTGGTCAAGTGACTGTTGATCTGTTCACCAAGAATCGTTATTGGTTTGTCAGTGTTTCAGCACCATTCGAGCAGATATCGTCAGGGCGCGCACTGACGGTGACTAGTTAATCGAAACTTGAGTTGCACATGACGCGAAAAACGACTGTGCCTGAAAAAAAGTAAGTTTACATCAAGGGCTTAGAGATTCTTCTCCAAACCCGGGAGGCAGTCAAAACAGAGAGCAGGGTGCTCCACCTCCTGCTCCTAGCAGTGAGGAAACCGGTCGCGTTCCCACCGTTTTTCAAGGCCATCGTACGTCATCACTCCGAATACTGTGTACAGATTTGATCTTTATCTCTCTGAAAGAATGCTACCTTTTTGACATTTCCCGTCAGACACTGCTGTCATGCGGTCAGGCTTTTCGGCCAAAAGCTTTGCTGGAGGACCCCACTTGTTCTTCAGTATAGATGTCGGCGCTCTGATGGCATCCCCATCTAAGTGCCAACATAACTTCCACAACCAAAAGTACCATCGTGCCACATCTGCGCGTGAGTGATGTCGTTATTCGGGCCGCCTTACTTCCTGCATAGATTTTGCTGTGGGATAATCAAAGACGACTGCTGCTGGCGCCCCCTCCTTGCCTTTTCACTCGCCCTTTCTCTTCACTCCCCCAGCCTACTAAGAACGCGCCCTTTTTGGCTCATTTATTGGAACTGACGACCACATTCGTCTTGTATCGGCCAAAACATATGCCGGTCAGTCGGAGCTGATAACCTTGAGCATCTTAAAATTAATCAAACCTCAACACCCGGTTCATCCAGCCGCTCTTAATTCCCGCACTCTGATTCAAGCAAGACAACAGACTGCTCTATTTCACACACTGGATTGAAATGGATATGTGCTGTGTATCGGAAATCAGAATTTAAGATTCAAGTGCAATCGTTGGGATAGCTGTCCATCACATCCTATTTGCTTCTGGCTGCGAACTTATGGTGATCAAGATACCGTTTCGACGGTCTATGTAGGGATCTGCACCGCTCTGATTCACCGAGAGGGAGGATCCTTGCTTGACTTGACAACTGTTGATAGTCGCCTCTGACCACATTGCCTTTAGTTATCGATGGCATGAAGCAGTAAGTGACTGCTGATCATTCTTGAATACGTGTAGGTTCCGACCATGGACTCGTCCCGAGTCTCCCTCTTCGCGTTATGAGGTCCAGACAACTAGCTTAGAAACTGAAAAACAATCAGATCCCAAAGTCAAACGAATAGATCAGAACCGCCTTCTGAACTCCTTTCCCCCGTCGGATGTCAATTCACAACGGAACGAGATCACTACATGCTTGCACAACGCAGGCAGTTTCACCGGTGACACTGTGGTGCCAGCCCCTCTCACGCACTGGATATCAAACTGAACAGTGGAGCTGTTTGAATCTCGAAGAAACGTTCCCGCGGGTCTACAGCATGATTCAACCAATACATTATCACACATGAAGTGAAACTCACCCGACCCTGAAGCCTGGTGGATAAGAAAGGCTAAGGATACGGAAAGGACTAACAATGCCGATCATGCCCGAATATTATTTTGGTTTATCTGTATAACTGGTCTGCGAAAAATGCCTGTGAGTGAAACCATCAAACTGTAGTGACCATCCTCGATAAGAAAAGCTACTTCTATCTCCAAGTCGAGCACTTTGAAAAACAATTTTATTGTCCATCTGGTGTCACTCACTCGGTATGCTGTTCCCAGTACTCTGAAAAAACCGTACGGCTTAACGTTAGCCCTACAAAGGGCCCTCTTCTATCTACCCACCAATTTCAGAATGCTTTTGCTATCTGTGTGCATTTCAGGCTTAGTGTAGAAGAACTAAACTCATTGCTTGCACTCGTTCCTACCGTCTACGGATTTACTTGGGGGTATTGCAGGTACTTGGACTTTAATTTCAACTGGACACTAATTACAGTACCTACATTATCACATTATCCTTTAATTAGAAAGGACCCCATAATTTTAGCGTAGCAGTAGCTGTCCAGTCAGCTTCGCTTTGAGTACAACCTGGGAAGATGTGGCGTGCATCTGGTCCAAAATCCAGTTGTGCAGAACTTGTTATTGGGGTGTAAATTGTCCTTGTCGGTTAACCGGGTGGAGTGTGCAACTCTGTGGTCTGGAAATCAGCGCAGCAAATCTGTCAACTTTCCAGATTGTTGCACTGGAATTACTGCAACTAGTGCAGATTGACAAACCTTCAATTTTGGCGTCTCTTTGTGGCCTTGTGGTACGTAAGCTTTCGCGTCACACTGCTATGAGGTTTTCCACATATTCTTTTCTCATTTTCAGCCTGCTTTATGCGAAAGTTCATACTGAAAAGTCCACGGTTAGAATGCGTTGTCTTTAATCTGTACCCTACCAGAACACAGACATTCAACCAAAATCTTCAGAAACTTACCTTCTCATTTCGGCTTCACCTCATCGACAACTGTATTGAACCAACACGTAGCCTCAATACCAGCGTAACGGCGCTTCACATAGAGAATCATTGTCTGGACCCGGTTGCCCCGTGTCAGATTGGACCGGTTCATTTCGGGTGATCGGCATTGTCCCAAGCGTCTCTCTCATCATCAGTGTCCTAGTCTAGATACGGTCATACACATTCAAATGGGTGGACCGGACATTTTATGAAAAATTTGAGGTTGCACTGATTAAAATGGAGGGACAAGAATGTACCAAGGAGATAATCGATAATATTCCTTAGATTTACCATGCGACGCCCGGAGCTTCAGTATGTGCGAAATTGCGACCGTCTGAAGTTTGGTTTGGTTGGCATATCGAAATTATCTTGTACGCTTTCGAAGCACCGTCACACAACTTAAAACGAGACATTCATATGGAGCACTAACCAGCATCGCATCACGGTGACTGCTCGTGGTGTTTTGTAACAGGTGATACTGTGTACGTGTGGAAAGTCCGCCTGAGAATCATTATGATCCTCAATGACAGCAGAACGCTCATAGTCACCTCTGATGCCCCGTCACCGTAAAACCATAATTCATTTGAAAGCCTTATTGTGACCATGTTGGGACCAAGTGCTGGCCTACCACAATCACTCTGAGGTACCTACAACTTCAGGTACTCACTCAGATAATCTGGGTAGGAAATGACAACATGAACCCAATTAACTCCATTGTCTGGTAAAGTCCCCAAACATGCACAGGGGGCCAGGTCTCACAGTCATACAACAAAATGGCCACCAATGTAGCCCGATACACGCGTCCCTTGAGATTCAGGTATATACCGGTTGCAGCAGTAGGTGCCTCAAATCGGCAAACTTCACCCAAACTGAAAAGATTCACGCATTCTTCTCATCCGTCACATTACATTCTGAACGTATACAACTCCCAAAATCTCCATATTCTTCAGTGCTCCTCCTTGGACTGTAACTGACATGTTCAGTGAATGCTTTTCAAGAAATATGACCTTACGTTTGTGGAGGCAGAGCGCATGCCAAAGGATATAATGACTTCAATCACCTAATCCAAAAACACCGGTTCTTTATTGTCCTCTTCGAAGGCGAGAATGATGTCACCTGAATATTCCAGATCGGCAAGGTTTTCTTCAGTAGCTTTCTGGACACACAAGTCCTAGCGTTCGTCCAATCACATCGTCGACCACGAAGTTAAATAGGAATGGAGTATTAGCCCTTTCAGGTGCCATTTTCTTTATACAAAAGCTTCGGGATGGACCCGCGTATACTCCCACGCGCCCGCAAGTCTGAGGCTACAAAGAGCTTGAGAACTGCGCCTACCTGATGAGCCCCGAGAAGGGCAAAACCGGTAGTGAACTTTCGAAGAGTTTCCGACAACCTTATGATTAGCAACTTACGTATATACAAAGAACTTATTATGTCCACAAACTTTGGGGGCATTCTAAGCCTGTTAGGGCAAACAGACCGATCAACCGATCCAGGGATACTAAAGTTGAAGGCCATTTAAACATACAGCGTTTTTCTGCAACCTGACGGAAGCTGAGTTGAATCTTGCTTGTTCGGACATTTCCTGCTACTGAATATGTGATATGTGATATGTGAATATGTGAATATGTTATATGTGAGCAAACAATGAACAAGTGACCGTTTATTTGGTACCAAACAATGATTCTGCTAGGCTTGGTTGAGGCATTAGAAGATGCGTTTGCAGAAAACTACAAACCACCAATGAATTTTAGTTTGATTGGTACTAGGAAACGGATAATCGACTATGACCTGTGTTGAGTTGGAATATGTTATCGGATTTGCCCGCCACATTGAACTACGCCTGTGCTTCCCTCGCATGTTATGCGATGTCATAAATGGTTGGTCCTGAATGGCCTGAGCAAACAGCTGAGCAGCCATTATCCGGTATAGGTCCGAGGGAATAAGACAAGGATGAGTAGGTGGGGGGCAGTCACCAGAACGCCTAACTGATAGCCATTAATGATTGTATAGGGACAACGAAAAGGTCGAACCACGCAATTTACGTGGAGGATAGACTAGTGGTCCACACAACTCATGTGATGCAGCCAAGCCAGTCACCAGTTTGTTCAGCATAACTCTGGCTAGGGAAAGTCACTTCCAGAGCCCCTGTAAGAATATCCCCCACGAATGTCGGATGCGTCAAAGTGAGTCAATCGCATGGGTCATTTACATAAAATACCAATATAACATACTAAAACCCTGAAATCCCTTCAACATTCCATTAACCGTTTCGACCTTCTTGGGTCCCATAGGATGGGCGTAGTTCTGAAGCTTCCATCAACCGTAACATCGAATTGACGGGATACACCAATTTACAAACACCGGTAGTGTCAAAGGAAGGCTCAACCGAAGCTCTCGTTAATGGTATTCTTCAGCTGGATGTGCTGACCACTTCATGTTTCAATTCCGGCAGCCTACTACCGGTTTCGCCCTTCTTGGGTTCCATCAAATAGGTGTAGCTCCAGAGGTTCCACCAATCTCATTTCTTGTCAGGACAATATACTGCAATATCTCGAACATCGCGGTAACTAAAACATGAGGTGGTATTTCTGCAGCAAGTCTAACTAAAGAATATCATAAACAAGAGTCAGCTGAAATCGTATTTACTCTTATCACACTTACAAGGGTTGTGTTCTGGTGAGTTTTAGGAGGCAAAACTGCTTAAACGAAAGTTACTGGGTCAACCGCAGTTGACAAACTGGCTGGATAGCTTACAAATGTAGTGACTCTGTAGTTATTTCGCGCGCTACATGAAATTAGGTAGATGTCGGGTGAAAGAGCAGTGTTTCATCAAAAGAGCAGACGGGCAAAGTTGTTCAGGACGAGCATTAGAATTGGTTCCCGAAGACAACCCGTGTGATGAATTGCTTCAAGGGTCCCAAAGTGACTCAGTCATTTGCAGTTCTTTAGGTGAATGCAATATAGGAGCAGTTATTTCACATACATTTAACAGGACTGCCTGTGGCCACTTTGACCCAATGTTTTCCCTGTGCTATCAGTTGATTTCAGAGTTTTCACAACTTATCTAGTGGCATTCGTATGCGAATAAAGCAGGGAAACTTCAAAGGTGAGAGTCAAAGAAATAATCGATAAAACGAGTTCAGAACCTGAAGCGGGGGTATCTTCCTCTACTGGATACCACAAATACATGTGATGGTAACGCATAAGAATTTATCCAAAAATAGAGACCATTTAACCATACACTGGTATGAAACAATAGAGGTGCGGTTGTGCAAAAGTTCATCGGGATGAGGGAATCTGCGTTACAAACGAGACGTACATATTTGCTTTGGGGGGAGGGGGAGGATTACGTGATTGATTTTATTAACCAGTTCTCTGTTAATCACACCATACTTGTTGAAAACAGCTTTTGGTCAAAGAGACTGTTTGCGGTGCGTACTGTAATCGGACTACTGAATCGGAATGCAAATAACATCTGTTTCCTCCTGCATTTTCCACGAAGTTATTCAAACGTAGACAAACTTCATCAGATTAAATAGGTGGCCGACTAACCTGTGAACGATGTCCCGTTTTTGAGCTGAAGTATGCGTGAGCGCAACTGCTATTCGGTGTTAGCAATCATATACGGCAACTTCCAGAAACCCGCTAGAAATAAGCCAACTGGCCGACGATTTATCTTTCGTCTGCTTTGAACTACAAACAACACACGGTTCTGGACGAAAAATGAACATTCATGATCTTCATTCTCAATCGGTGCACATCAGAGTTTACTCGTTTGAACGATACTCATTCGCATGTAGTAAGAACAAGGAATTATGTCGGCTTCAGCACTGCGCATAGGGTTGGTGGAATAGAATGTTTGTTGCAGAAGAATTGGGATAGTCTGACTGCCGCAACCATTGTTAGGACACTTTCGAACGCAGACAGACTTGAAACACTGCGCAGTTTCCCTAATTTTGAATGGCAGTTATAGCACTAGTGGCAAGATATCACCTGTTTGATAGCCACCAAAGTAATTACATGATAATCAGGACCACCTAGTTTACCGAGGAATGTGAACTCGCAGGCGGCAGTGCGCGAACAACTAACTCATTGCTACTGCCTATGAATACCGCGCATCTATACTGGGTGATAAAGAAATTCCTTGCCGAAACGGTTTCTCTCCAGTCCTTGAACGTAATGTTTTAGACAGATGGAAAACGAGGAACACGCCTTAGGAAGTTGGGTGTAAATATTCCGAAGATGACAAACTTTTTTCAGTTTACAACATTCGTCCCAGCCAGGTTACACCTTGAGCTAGCTGCGTTATCCTTCTGCTAGGATGCGGGCGACCCTTAAATTTTACCACTATTGAAGCGATTCGGTCCAGAGTAGTGGACCGAATATTTCAGCCATTTCAGACAGATGGCGATTTCAGGCGTCTTTCTTGAACGACCACCGGTGCGTGCCTACTCGGTACGGTCTAAATCAATGGACCAGACGGTTTTGATAATCACGTGGTGGTTCATGTGACATCGTTAAGCGCACCTGTCTACTGATTGTAAGACTGACTATAAGACTATAAGACAACAAAACCTACGAACATAAAGTATGGTAACGGTTTCATACTTGGTTGAGTTCAAAACTGGTGATCTTCTTAAACAGTGTAGGGGGAAACTTTAGCCTTCGAAAAAGCCTGTTTTTTCGTACTTCTCAACTGTCTATAGTAAACGAGATTGTCGACACAAACGAAATCGATAGCGTATGCTAGTTAGGCGTGAAACTGCCACGTGGTTCCGGAGAGCCGAACTCAGCAAGCTCGTTTGTCGGTTGCACTCCAGTAGACAGTGTGAGCCTATCGATTACAATCTGTCGGATGAATCAGTAAACGAAAGCCAATAGGGAGTAGTCACTAGAAGAACGGG